TGGAGCAGCTGATGGTTTGGGCCATCAACCCTTCAATTAGCAGCTAAGTGCTCGACCACTGTGCTACCAGGGCTCCTCTATGTAATATGGTGGGTAAATAATTCCTCCCAGGGTGCATGGTATGGGCACTTCATAAGCGGTGTGAATGTAAGTGCTTAGAGCAGTGGGAGCCATATGCTGGGCCCTCAACAACCTCCTTTCCCGTCAGTTCTCTCTGTGTCTATGTATTTTCAAGTATATGTACAACATCTTCCTTTTTCTTAACATGCAAGTCCTGGCACCGGTTGCATGGAGCCACACCGTGTGATGGTGCTGGGTCAGTGGCAAGAGGAGAAAACTAACTTATGTGTGGACACGCTTGGGAAGTCTGACTTGAGCAGGTAGAATGAAATGATATTCAGTAGACATGGACAACCCAGCAACTTTATCCATTGGTTTGTTAATCTTGTCAGAGTCCGAGATGATTTTGAGCTGGACTGATGTGGCCATTTGAATCCAGATTCAGCTATAACTTGGAAACTATGCTACACTGTGTCCAGAGATAAATGCAAGGCATAGCAGGGAAGAACAGTGAGGATGTGTACAAGCTACAGTTCTCAGGAAATCAGTAATAAAAGGAAACCATTTTCCGCCTAGTTAGTTGTGTTATGACCAAATCACTTGTGCTCAGCAGGAAAGGTGACAGCTTTTGATTTTTCCATGTGTCACATTTCAGAATGTCTGTCCAAGATCCAACTGTTCTTAAAGGAGATATGGGATTGAGCTACAGCGTACAGGGTTATTTTCATAGTCATTAATTTTTTTTCTTCCTTGAGAGAAACACCAACTGTGCCCTTTGCCCAGTTTTCAGATACCTTCCTTTGCTTCTGTACACCTCAGTGTGAGTTGCTTTGTTCCTGGGAATGATTCCTGCTGTGGAGAGAAATAGGGACTGTGACTAGAAGAAATGAGTCAGAGAGATGGCAAAAAAAGGAAGGAGGTTTGCAGTGAGGCTTTGGGAGAAATGAGGGCAACTGAGGAAACGCACCCTATTTCTTTGGCAACAGAAATTCTGAAAGTGAAAGGTAAGTGAGAAGTATCGAAGAGTAGCCATTATTGCTAATTTTAAAGGCCCAGAAAGCCACAGGTACACCGTCTTTATGGCTTTCCTTTAGCCACCAGGAAAACATATTACGAGGGCTTCTGTAAGCTCGCTTGCAACTCCCATTTCCCCACAGCACATTTCTTTCCTGAATCATGCCCATTCCAGGCTCCAGGCTCCTCACCTCTGAAGCTGATGAGGGAGTACTGAGTGGGTTTTGGCCACAACACCGTCTACTGTGGAGACTTGGTTTCTGATATGGACATTCTTTCCCTAACGCCTCGAACACCATCACATTCATGCTCTTTTTCCATCCCTGGGGTCTCTTCAAGCAAGATCTCAGGAGCTGTCTCCTCTGCCAGGTTGTTTCCTCCAGAGCAGAGGGGCAGCTGGGGAGAAATAACCAACGTATTCTAGAACCATCTGTACTTACTCTGCTCTGGATTATCATTCTGTCTTCAAATCACATACTAACCATGTATGTGTCATTCATTAACCAATGTTTTCTAGAACCATCTGTACTTACTGTGCTCAGGATTGTCATTCAGTCTTCAAATCACATATCAACCACATATGTGTCGTCATGAAACTATGTCACTCCCATTCGTTCTTCCGTGAGTTTCCCAATTCACTTTTCTTAATGTTATGATGCTTAAAACTTTTGTTTTATTTAGCTTCCTTTTTTTTCCTTTCCTGAGAGTGCTTTGTGCATTGAATAGTTGTTTTCAGACACAAGTTTACCCCAAGTTTATTTGAGTGTGGTGCAAATATTTAGTATACATCTATATTGTGTTACATTACAGTGTCAGACACCAAGGGAGCGGAGAGATTTTGCTTACAAAATGTCATGTTTCATTTTGGCTAGTTTTGAAAACAAGAAATACTTTTTGAAATCTCATAACTTAAGATAAAAATTAATTGTGTTTCTTAATCATTTGTTTTTCTTTTGGGCCAAACTATCAAAATATTTAAGTTAAATATATATGTATAGAACCAGGGTTTACCCTCCTCTCAAACTGTCGATAATCTTGATTTGTTTTCTCTGTGGAAGTGAACTCTTCTGTCACTCTGAGTGTTGTGAATATTACTTCTCAATCATGATAGTTTTATGCTATTCTTCTCAGAGATGTTTTAAAGATACTGTCCAACCATCCCATACAAAATACATTCAATGTATGAATGCTTCTGAAGAACTTATCAAATGACTAGTTCCTTATTCTTGCAATAGCAAGACAGCATCATTAAGCCAGAGAGGGTCTGGAGTTTATTTTAAGTCATTTCATTTTTGGTTTCAATTTACCACCCACAGTTATGTAGAGATGTGAAAGTATGCAGGTTTGGTGTGTTTGTTTCCCTGTTACACAGTACTCATGTCCAAATAGGACTGTACTTAAAGTCTCGAGAACTAAAGAAATTAGGAAACATTTACCTTTTTGCTCATGGTATCAGGGAACAGTGGGAAAAAAATTCACTTCCCAATGTGCCATTGTCACCAGTTGATAGTTGCGCTGTTTGCATAGTTGATCACCCTCTGAAGCCAAGGAATGTGAGACTGCTGTCCACTAAAATGGGCCTGAAAGTCACGTGGAACGCACCCAAAGACGCTGCCAGTAGACCCGTGGAGCATTACAACATTGCCTATGGGAAGTCCCTGAAAAGCCTTAGCTACATCAAGGTGAATGCGGAGACATCCTCCTTCCTTATCGAGGATGTGGGTAAGTGACACTATGATCTTGTTCCTAGCACAATGAACTGCATACCAACATTCTCAGTTACATTACTGGATAGCTGTTTGTGGCCTTGGCTTAGAGCACCTACTGGTTCTTTGGGAATGGGCAGCTGAGTCCAGAGACACTACTCATCAACGCTGTTGCTTAAAGCCCTTCACACTGACTTCTGGGCTTTCCAGTCACGCATGTTAGCTCTTCAGTATCCCTGGCTCTCTCTCCAAATCTATGTTGGGAAAAGTTTTTAGTTTCTGAATGGGTTTTAGGAGATATGTTGATTCTACTTGATCTCATAGGAACTTAACTACTAGACAACTTAGGAACCTAATGTTAGGATTTCTAATTTATGAAACCATTATGGAGTAAATGGTAAAGTCACTGCCATCGAGTTGATTCCAACTCATAGTGACCTTTTATAACACAGCAGAACTGCCCCGTAAGATTTCCAAAGCTGTACATCTTTATGGAAGCAAACCACCACATCTTTTCTCTTACAGAGCAGCTGGTAGGTTCAAACCACCAACCTTTTGGTCAGCAGCTGAATGCTTTAACCACTACACCATCAGAGTTCAAGTACTCAAGTAATACATCCCTGAAAAGTGTGTATGATATGTTATCCTTAACCACATCTGATTCAAAGGTGGAATTTTTCTGCCATTAAATTTGATCATGGTAGTTCAGGATCTTTTAAATTTTGCCTAAATATTTGCTTTGCAGGTGTAGATGGTTTTGACCTTAGGCATAGAGCTCTGTCTTCTGCTGTTTGGATTCTAGGATCCTCAAACAGCATTTATTTTACTATCTTCTTTTGGTCCAACCTTAAGATGGATCATTGGAGTGACAGAAGGCAGCATCTATGAAAACTAAGCCCCACCCTCAACCCCACACCAAATTAGCATCTTTCCACCTTCCTTCAGTGGAGCGCAATCAGCTTGTGGCCCCTCAACACTGCTCCCCTGGTTAGAGAGTACATACCATTCCTCTGTGCCTCCTGCACTGTGATCTGGTGCTCTCTGGCTGACAGAGCAAGAAATGTGGACAAGGAGGTCAGATCCCTTCCTCAGGGTTTCAGTGCAAGGTGCACTTCTCAGCATGTCTTTCCCATCACACACCCCAGACCCCAATGCCAACTCTCAGTTTCACCCGAGAGTCCACCAGGCTGAAGGTCACATTTGCTTCAACCTGGGCTGTTAGGATTGTTGCAGAGAAGAGAGACGTGTGAAGAGAGCTGAGGGGTTCACTGAAAAACAGAATGTCTCCCAAACAGCTTTCTGATTAGTTAGCTATATACGAATCAGAGACATGTGGATTACATTTCTCTGAAATACAAATAAGCTCCAAATGAACAGAGCAAGTGCCCGGAGGAGCCTGACTCTGCATTTCCTAGTTAGTCTGGCAGCTCGTGCCAAACCCTAAGTGCCACCAGCCCTGGCTTCATTAGGCAGACCTCAGACAACCTTGAGCACGGCAGGCATCCCAGATGGTCTCAGCTGGGTCACAGTTCCTGGGCCTCTGGCTGAAGAAGAGAAGCTCTGTTGTAGCGATTCTCCTGCTTCTGAGCAACGTGATGGCCATGACTGCCTTTGACAGGACCAACTCTCACCTCTCTAGCCCTTTGCCCCTCCAAGGCCCACAGACCTTTTCCTCTTAAGACACTGGCACCTCCATTTACCTTTCACAAGATACTAATTCATTTTGATGAAAACCAGCACGATCGACTTTTCCTTTTAGAAGCTGCAAGTACACGGTGCACCCTCTTTGTGATATGGTATCTTGGTTTCCTTTTGCATCCTGACAACTTCAGAAGCTCAGCCAAAGAGAATTCCATGATTTGACCTTGTCCCCTAGATGCAATTCGAAAAGTGAAGTCCAATACCTTCAAGTTAGCATTTCTAAGACTCCATGAAATAGTTTGCTGGCTTGTTGTTGACATGCAAAGACAGCATGTAGACATAGTAAGAGAAACATGTTATTTTGAAAAGGAGAAAAGTTCATGAATCTTTACATGTTGAATTCATTAGGTATTGCATCCCATGTGCTAAATCTTATAATTAAGTTGACATTTTCTTGTTATTTTCTGGAGATTTACATTTGGAATTTCTACAGAGAAATATTATGGATAGTTACTGACTCTGTCTGTTAAAACATCTATTTGGTGGATAGTGCATTCCTGTTCCTTATTTTGATTTCATGCTAAAAAAGCTTTTAATATTGACTGCTCATGAATCCAGATTTATTATACTTACCATGTACTTTGTACCTACTAAATTTTGTTTCCTTGGGTCACATGTGTTTCAGTTGCATGAAAAGAATGTGAGTGATTTTTGATGAAAAAGAGAGAGAGAGAAAGCTATAGTTAGATTTGTCACTTAATTCAGGTTTTTCTATTTTGTTATAACTGGCATAAGGCAGATGGTTAGTGAATCAAACTGTGTCATTCTTGGAGATGTGCAATGGTGGCTTGATATGACCGTATGTTTCAGAGCCGGGGGTAGTGTACTTTGTCCTGGTTACTGCGGAAAATCACAGTGGAGTGAGCCGTCCAGTTTACAGAGCTGAAAGTCCACCTGGTAAGTCTTACCTAGAATGAGAGGTGAAGTTTGTGTTACTTAGATCGGAACAGACATCCCTTCTTGCTTCTTCAGGTCAATACAAATTTCCGATGATTAATTCTTAAACAATAAGTTTTTAGATTTGTCTAACAAGTTGAAAGGTAGAAACTAGAAGAGACTTATCCCTTCTTTTAAGGTAATTTTAATGTAGG